GGCAGACGGCGCGTCACTGTATATCTTGTCGAGACGAGACGCGTGTCGGGCCGTGACCTCAGCATCCCAGCCAAGGCGCGTTGGTTCATATTGCGCATGCCCCAGGCAGTCGTCGCAGACGCGATGAAACAATTCAAGGCGTGCTCTTCCCCCTTCCGACTAATGCCGCCCACCCTCCGACATCCCCCCTCGCCCCGCGCTGCGTAATTCCCATCCCCGCCAGTGATATTAAGACAGCGTTCACGGGGCGGCAAACGTGCAATGATGCCGCGCGAGCAGCGCTGGTGCAAAGGTAGCCCGAGGTTCGTTTTAGGCATATGGCAATTCACAACAGTCATGTTTCCCTCCGCCCCGCAGAGACGAGCAAGCAAGATCCCCCCATTCACTACGACAGAGCGCGTAATCAATTGAGACCGGACCAGACACGCAACCTGGCACTGATTGCAGTAACCAGACACCCTGCTGCTGTGCCGTCCAAGAAACGAGCCCCAATCGTGACATCTGTCAGCCGGTGAAGCGGGGCAATGACCCCCCCCCCCCCCCAGGACCGCGGCATTCCTGAAAGCGCGCAACGTCGTGTTCCCTGCAAAGCCCAATTGCATATGCAAACCGTTTAGCACAAAGCGAATTACCCCACGAATACGCCCACATAGACCGTCGGCATTCCACGTGCAGATCGACACAGAGGAAGGGGGGCTGTACGGGGCGCCTCGATCCCCGGGGGAATTCACAGGGGCCCCAATAGGGCCCGCCAAAGGAAAAAGTCCAAGCCCAATGTTAAACCATGCGAAGTCACTGCGTAACGATGCGGGGACCCCAGGAGCGGAGAGAGGACCTGACAGCTCAGCAGCAAAGGATGTCGACGCCGTAAGATCGGCACCTCGTGCCGAGGAGTCAGCAGCACTGGCAGCGGAAACACTGGCATGGCGGCAGTCGCGGCGAAACACTCTGCGCTCGTCGCCTTCATCTTCGTGAAGGCACTCAATCGCAGCACAGACTGCAACGGCCGAATCGGAAACGCGCCCTTGATCCGCGCTGCGTGCTTCAGCTTCAAAAGGGAGCAGCAAGGGCTGATTGGACTGCTGGCAGCGAGCATTGGATCGCGAAGCTCTCAAAGGCAGATTCAAACAGCGCGTGCTCAATCTGACCGCCCTCCATTTTCAATAGAAAAAGCGTGACTCGATTCTCGGCATGGGGTAGCGCAAAAATGGCGCCTCCGAATCCGTTCGAGCCACGCTCGCAGCGACCAGCAAGCGTCTCAGCGACGGTCCTCCTGACCCCCACCCACCACGAAAAACAGCCTCCTCCCCAGCTGGCTGATGCCCCGTTTCGCCCCGGGCGCGCAGCGAACATTGTTGCCGGCTGGGCTGGCAAAATTGATCTCCTCAAGGCTCCGAAACTTGTTCAGAAAGTCCGCGCACGCAGTTGCCGATGCAAACTTGAAGGCCGCCTTCCTCGACATGTCGGAAGCTTTGATCGCCGCCTTCCCATAGCCCCCTGACGCCATGCATTTCTCACGTACTGGCTCGACAGCTCGGCGGGACATCCGAGCCGCCGGCGGCATCTCGAAGCCCGCGAGGGCCAATCGGCAAGCGCCTTCCTGCTCACGCGTGGACGGCGCAGCAAGAAGTGATGTTCCACTACCAGCACGGGGCGGTACAGCAGCCATCTGCTGCAGCTTCTTCTCAATGGCGTCGGCCCGAGTGTTAGCTGTGCCAGGCGTGGCCACCTCCTGCAGCCTGTTGATCTCCGTCTGGATCTGTTCCACCTTGACCTGCACCATGCCCCCGATGGCCTGCTCGACCGCGGCGAACGTCGATCCGCTCTGCAACGTCTCTTGCACGTGAATACGGGCGCCAATCCCGGTGACGCACGTGCAGCGAGACTCTACGGCGTCCCTGAGGTTGCGCATCTGCGTCGGCATCGCGTTCTCCATCGGCTCGATCCGAGCGCTGCTGGAGCGGATGTCTAGAGTCAATCCCATCACCCATCCGGGCGGATGCGGCGGCGGCCGCCCCCTGTGCTCGCGATCGCTGCGGCTCCGCGAGTCCGTCGATGCAATCGCGCGAGGAGACGATGACCGGCCAAGCCTCCGCGCCCCGTCGCCTGACAGGCTGCGACTGGGGCTGCGCCGCGCGCGAGCCCCGCGCTCCTCGGCTGGCGATTGCCCCCCGTGACCGATCACCGACGCGTGCTCTGGCGCGCGACTGGAAAAATACAAAGCCTAACCTCAGGGCGCCCGAGCCAACCCCTCGGCCGCGCCCGAGCTCGAAGCGCCGGGGCAGCGCTTCGAACTCGAGCCAAAATGGCCACGGCCCGTCCTGTGGGGCGGCTTTGACAAGAGGGGCCACAAGAGGAGGGAGCTCGGTGCCTATCCCAACAATCTGCTCGGGGTGCACCTAGGGGCGAGAGGGGTCGCCAGTCCTTCGAGCGGAGCCGGCCATGGCGGGCAAAACTTCCGCGTCGGGGCCCCGCGGGCCCAAGCCCCCAATCTCCGCGGGTCACCCTTTGCATCCCTTGTGAAGTCCTCGCCAGGACCTTCGGCAGCGGCGCTCAGACCACGCCGCTGCCGACGCTCTCGAAACCAATTTTCCACTTGTCGTGCCTGCGTGCCTCCGTCGCATCCTGGTTGGCTCCATGTGTCGAGCCGCTGCGCAGTGCTCAGACCATTTATTTTCACGGCAAGGTGCGGTCAGCGATTCACTCCGCATTTGGTACCAGCAACCCGCCGAGCAAGAGCGCGCGCTTGCGTCACTTCTGTGTCCTTCCATGCGCGCCACCTTTCGTCGATGAGCTCCGCACGATGGTCTTCCCACTCTGCTTTGCGCTCTCGTTAGGCATGCGTGGATAAACGTTCGGGTTCTGTCGTTACGGCCTCCACCTCGTGGTCAGCAGCACCTGCAAGCTCCCCGCGTAGTCGCTGCCGTTGTGCCAATAGGTCATGTCGGTGACGGCGGAGGGCTTCACACCTCTCATCTCGGGGTGGGGCCTTGCGAACATATCCTGTCCAGCGTCGCGTAGCGTGGTCTCCAGCTACTCGAAGAGGCGATCTGGGAGTTCCAAATCCACATGCTGCGTGTCGTGCTCGATGTCTCTGGCCATAAGCCCCACCGCTTATTCGAAGAAACGCTGCTTGTTATGTGGGTCCCTGCCAGCGTGATCGTGTTTCATTACGTCCTTGCACCGCTGCCACGGGGTCATCGCGTTTGGATGTGGCCCTGCTGGTAAGGAGAAATGCACAGGAGTCGGCAAATGTTTTGTTTTGTTTGGCGTCGATCAGCTGTAGTTAGCGTTTCAGCCCAGCGAAGGGCTCAGAAGAAGCAACTGTTGTCGCCGGGCAGCATATATAGACAATGGGACTGCTGAAGCCTTGCTCTCCATGCCAAGTGTCCATATTATGTGAAGCGTTGGCGGCCCATCAATGGTGAAATTCCAGCATATGACGAAACCCAGTACCTACGAAATGTTCTCTTCGAGTCACTCTTGTTCCACGGCGGTGGTTTCGGTGTGAGTAAACTTTGCCTGAGGCCCCATTGCCATTCCCATCCCATCGTTCAGGTATATTCCGCTGGTCGGCTCGCTTCTGGCACGCGCGTCGTTAAGCACATCCTAGATCCATCCAACAAGTTTCGTCCGTATTTTCTCGTAGCTGGTGGCTGCAGCGGCACGAGAAGGGCGAGGTGGGATACATGTTCCAATGATGGTGATGTCGTGAAATCGATGCGCAATTCGTACTGCGAAGCCTCGTCTCGGCGGTGCAACATGTGGTAACCGTACTCGTCGAACGTTCTTCCCTCGAAGTATTTTCCAAAAAGAAACATAATCCCCGTGGCGTTGTTCGTGTTAGCGCCTTCCGGAAAACCTGCATATATTCTCCATCGAGGTCCAGCTCGGCAATGTTCAGTGCTGAGATCAGTACGCCTCTGGGTGCTCGTCAGAATGATCGCGTCAGTCGATGCTGCCGCCAGCTCAATACCGTCAGTTCGAGAGAGCCCGGTTTGCAGCAGCGCCACCAACTGTGGTAGCAAGCGCTGCGAGAAGAGGCTCCCATGGCCTCGCCACCATCAGAGGGCCGCCATCGCCGCCCGACTGCCGTCACCCGTGCAGGTGATGGCGATTGTCAGTTTGCAATAAGTGTGGCCCCTGTGCAAAAAGCGGGAAGCCCGCACGGTTACGACGACGACGGCGACGACGACGAAGACGACGACGCACTGCTGACGCCCTATGGGTGGGTGGCTGGCTGCTGCGTAGGCGCGCTGTAGTCGACGACGACGACGCACCGCGGATGGGGGGGAGGTGCTAAGCAGTCCCGCTGTAGTCGACGACGACGACGACGACGACGACGACGACGGCGAAGGCAGAGACATGGTCGGGGGTGGGGGTGGCAGACGTTTATAACATCAGCTCTGGCGGCTGAATTTGTATTCGTCTGCCCAACTCAATTATTTTGCGGTCTCCGAGGGGGGGGCATGTGTTGATATCGTTTGCTCCCATTACACGGGGCACGCCGTCCCATAGCCTCCTTGGGTTTACAGATCCCCGCGGGTGGCCTGGACACGTGAAAACAAGCGTTTCGCTCGGGACATCTTGAATACACTATGCGGAACAAGCGTTTCGTGCCAGACATCTCCAACACAAAAGAGAACTATGTTTCCGCTCGAGACATCGTCACACGATGGTCAAGAATGAAACTCCCGCTCGAGACATCCTCAACAAACGATCCGCCGGCCCTCTTCGACTTTGTGATTCCTCAATGAAGAATTCCTCCTTCCACCGGCCCCCCTCCTTCCGCCGGCCCCCTTCGAATTCCTCATGCCTCCTTCCGCCGGCCCCCTGAATCTCCCCACAGCTCTGCCAGAGCTCTTCCTGAATCTGGAGGAGGAGGACCGCTGGCGGCTGCGAGCGATCGCCCAAGTCACCTGGACCTGCGACGTTCCCTGGGACAAAGGCCCTCCCCGCTCGTCCCATGCTCCCCCCCAGCAAACGCTGGTGCCCTGGGCCTGGCTGATCTGGACCGCCGACGCCCTGCTTCCAGAGGAGCTGCCTGCGAACGAGAAGGCGGGAACGTCAAGATCCGACCCCCCTCCCTTTGATACACACGCCGTCCCGAAACAAAATCACGGCAAGCACTGTGCCCCAATCTGGGCATCATGGCGCTTAGGGACCGATCCGTCTCGGACAAATTCGCTAGCCCATCAAGCCAAAGGTTTGTTTGACCTGCCGACCTGCCTGACACGGGGAAGGACAACCACACACACACACACTCGCACGCACGCGCGCACGCACGCACGCAGGGTCGCACGCCCCGCCCCCCACCCCACAGACACAGCCACAGCCACAGCCACAGACACAGCCACAGCCACAGACACAGACACAGACACAGCCACAGCCACAGACACAGACACGCAAACGCACACGCACACGCACACGCACACGCACACGCACACGAACATGCACACGCACACGCACACGCACACGCACACGCACACGCACACGCGCACGCACACACACACACACACACCACACGCACACACACACACACCGACACACGCACACACGCACACACACATTCACATTCACATTCACATTCACATTCACATTCACATTCCCATTCACATTCACACACACACACACACTAACACACAAACACACACGCACCGACACACACACACACACACACGCACCCACACACACATACACACGCTCACTTTCAGAGGGCTACTGCTCCCTGGCTTGCCCCGTCTTTTGACTTGTTGTGAGGCCGTCTTGGGGAATAAATCCCCTTCGTTTCCCCCTCCCCTATCGTCCTCCTCTTCCAGATCCTCGGCGTGGGTGTTGACGAGCAGCCTCTCGCGGCACTAATCCTGACCAAACTCGGAAAATTCTGCCCAACGGACACCAAGGGCTCCCAGCTGGCCCCTCAGGACGGCCCAAAGGAGCGTAAATTCGGCGTATCCCTGACACACTTCGTGCACCTTGACCTCAAGATGCGCTCAACTGACTCGTAGGACGGCTCGAGGGGTCCTCATCCTTCCGCACTTCGTGCTACATGGACCCCCAAGGGCTCCCAGCTGGCGGCTCGACGGAGCCTCATTTCTGCACACCTGCCCACGCACTCTGCGCCCCGTGAACACCAAGCGGCTGCGAATGAATTTCTCAAGACGGCTCACGGAAACCCTCACCGGGCGCCCGAGCCGCAAAAACCCCTAAATGGCCCAAAACGGCCACAGAAGGCTCCACAATGGCTCGTGGATGCTCCTGGAGAAGCAAAAGATTGCAACGATCGGCGCCGTCACTGCGCAACGGCCCCCCAGACTCCCCGAGGGAAGCCAAGACGACACCCCGACCAACCAGGTGAAGCAAGTCTTCTCCCCAAAGAAGCAGTGCAACGATTGGTATCGAGCCTCGTCGAAGCCGCACCCCCGAACACCCAATTATTGTGAGAATTGCATGCTCGTTTCCCCTTTGGTGGCCGCCGTGGCCTCCGTTCTGAGGTTTCAGCAAACACAAAAACGAAATTGAAAGCTCGGATCGAGCTCTTTCCAAAGCGGACATTGATCACCCCACCTCTCTCTTACTGTCAAGATTTCCTCGCATCTCTGAATCTCCTTCGAAGCACCCCAGCGGCCTCTGAGCACCAGGAGAGATGAGATGCAAAAAGAGGAGGGGTGAGGGGATAGGATACTGACACGCAGGATAAGGAATGAAGGATAGGGACAAACGTGTGGGGCAACAGCAGAAACAACACCGATCCCCAAGTGGCCTTTGCTCTTCCAGCCATGCTCTCCTTGCTTCTCGCCTACGCCCCACCCCTTTTTGTTCCCCTCTTTCGCTATCTTGTTTGTTATCCCTCTCTTATATATATACACACTTATATATACATATATATATATATACACACACACACACACTAGAATTACAATGGTGTTTGCACCTGAAGGGTTCTACGCGCAGGCCAGTGAAGATTACAACATATTGGATCCTCCCCTGTTTCTCCGCCTCCAAAAAAACAAAAAAACAAAGATAAAAAACAGATAAGATAAAAAAACGAAAACCAAGAACTAAAAGAAAAAGAAATAATAAGTAAACAAAAAAAAAACGGTAAGAAAAAAAAAGGGAATTAAAAAAAAAAAAAATAAAAAAGAATAGCAAAAAAAAAAGAACACAAACCAAAATACAAAGAAAAAAAAAAAAAAATAAAATACAAAAAAAAAAGAATCAAAACGAAAAAAAATAAAGAAAAAAAAAAGTGATAAAAAAGAGAAGAAAAACACAGAGAAAGAAAAAAAAAAAACTATGAAAAAGAAAAAAGAAAAAATAGCAAATCCCAAGCGGCCTCCAAGACGGCCCCAAGAAGCACCGAAGAGGTCGGAAGTGAGGGGGTGAGATCGCAGTGGAACGGAGAGCCCCCCACCAGGAAATGGGTTTCGGTTTCGGGTTCGTGTCGCGCGTGCGGGCGAGGCGAAGCTGTGTGGGCGGGCGAGAAGAATAGTTCCGCTGTGGCTAGGGCGGGTCAAGAGCCGTTGACCGCCCCATCCACATGGTGGTCCAGCGTTGGCCAAGGTTGTCCCGCCGTCGTGTCCCGGCGGTTTCCCGTCGGTGTCCCAGTGGTGTCCCGTCGCTGTCCCGTCGGTGTCCCGTTGGTGTCCCGTCGGTTTCCTGTCGGTGTCCCGTCGGTGCCCCGTCGTTGTCCCGTCGCTGTCCCGTCGCTGTCCCGTCATTGTCGAGTCGGTGTCCCGTCGGTATCCCGTGGCGTCCCGTCGGTGTTCTGTGGTGTCCCTCTGTGAAATCGATGATTAAATTGATAGTGAGATCGATTGTGAGATCAATAATGAGATCGATAGTGAGATCGATGTTGGGATCGATAGTGAAATCGATAGTGAGAGTCGTTCGTGAGATTGTCCAAGGGATCGAAAGTCAGATCGGTGTGAGATCGATAGCGAGATCGGTAGTGAGATCGATACTGATATCGGTAGTGATAACGATAGTGGGATCGATAGTGATATCGATAGTGGTATCGGTAGTGAGATCGATAGATGGGCATCGATCTCGCGATCGATAATGACATCGATTGTGAAATCGCTCGAGTGAGGCCGATAATGAGTTCGATGGTGAGATCGATTGTGACATCAATGATGGGACCGATAGTGGGACCGATAGTGGGATCAATGGTGAGATCGATAGTGCGATCGATGGTTAGATCGATTGTGAGATCGATAGTGAGATCGATCGTGGGATCGATAGTAAGATCGATAGTGATGCCGATGATGAGGTTGTCAGTGCTACCTATGATGAGATCGGTAGTAATATCGATAGTCATATCGATCCAGTGAGATCGATGGTGTCACCGATGGTGAGACCGATCGAGTGAGACGTTGGTTCCTCCCACCACCCCCGAACCTTCCTATCACTCGAAGGGTTGCCGTTTAGGTACATGGTATCGAACGTCCCAGAAGATTTCCCAGGAGGCCGAAATACGCCCCCGATGTGCCAACAAACATGGAACAACTTCAGGGTACCATTATGTTCTCCCTGTCCCACGTGTTTCTTCCATGATGCCCAAATACTATTCAAAACGGCGCCAGAGCCACCGGGCATGCCCAAGCAGCCTGGAGATGGCCCTGAATGGCTCCAAGATTTCACCCACATCGCCCAATATTGTCCAAAGAGCCCCCAACATACTCCTAAGATGCCCTCAAGGTGGGCCCAGAGATTGCCAAATCTGTCCCAAACATTGCCCTGGAGGGCCGATTGTGTTTCCGAAATGCGTATCACCACTGCAGATCAATATGACCACAATGCGGCTCAGCCAAAGGTGCCCGCGGCAGAGGGCACGGCACTCCAGATATCGAGTCCAACGGTGATTGGCACAGAAGAACCTTGAACGGCAACATGCGTCAACCCTTTTTCCCAACCCTCCTGCGTTGGGTTCTCGTTTTGAATAGAACACTGCTCGCGCGTCTCCTTCACACCCCCTCCCGTCCCTCTCTTCCCCCTTGCCTTTCGCCTCGCTCGTCGCTGCGTGCCAGCTGGGGGGCTGGGATCTGTGAAACTGTCGCCACTTTCGAAGCCTGCTGGGGGGCTCAGCACAGTGGGTACCCACGGCGGACTCAAATGAGACCTCGCCATCCCTGGGGGGCTGCGATCTGTGAAACTGTCGCCACTTTCGAGGCCTGCTGGGGGGCCCCGCACAGTGGGTACCCACGGCGGACTCAAATGGGACCTCGCCATCCGTGGGGGGCTGCGATCTGCGAAACTGTCGCCATTTTCGAGGGCTGCTGGGGGGCCCAGCACAGTGGGCACCCACGGCGGATTCAAATGTGACCTCGCAATCCTTGGGAAGCTGCGATCTGTGAAACTGTCGCCGCTTTCGCTGCCTGTTGATGGGGCCCAGCACAGTGGGTACCCACGGCGGACTCAAATGGAACCTTGCCATCCCTGGGGGGCTGCGATCTGTGAAACTGTCGCCACTTTCGAAGCCTGCTGGGGGGCCCAGCACAGTGGGCACCCACGGCGGATTCAAATGGGACCTCGCCATCCCTGGGGGGCTGCGACCTGTGAAACTGTCGCCACTTTCGAGGCCTGCTGGGGGGCCCAGCACAGTGTGCACCCGCGGCGGATTCAAATGGGACCTCGCCATCCCTGGGGCCCTGGGGGGCTGCCGAATCTGTGAAACTTGTCGCCCACTTTCGAGCATCATGCTTGGGGGGGGAGCACAGTGGATACCCCCGGCGGGTTCAAATTGAGACCCGCCATCCCTGGGGGGGGCTGCGTCTGTGAAACTGCCGCAACTTTCGAGGCCTGCTGGGGGGCCCAGCACAGTGGGCACCCACGGCGGATTCAAATGGGACCTCGCCATCCCTGGGGGGGCTGCGATCTGCGAAACGTTCGCCACGTTCGAGGCCTGCTGGGGGGCCAGCACAGTGGGTACCCACGGCGGATTCAAATAAGACCTCGCCATCCCTGGGGGGCTGCGATCTGTGAAACTGTCGCCACGTTCGAAGCCTGCTGGGGGGGCCCATCACAGTGGGTACCCACGGCGGA